TGAGTATATTGATTATTTTGACCAAAATCTCTTTTAAAAGATTAAATGAGATAATATATATATAGGACTTTGTCCTATTCACTTAAAGAAAATAAAAACACTTTAAAATGATTTTCTTCTTATAAGTGTAAAAAATAAAATCAAAGACAAAAGAAAAAACAATAGAAAAGTTTTTTTTTCACCAGGGTGACCTCTACATATACCTCATATTAACCAGATAGTGATTTTATACCTCATATTAACCAGATAGTAGTTTTATGTCTCATATTAACCAGATAGTGGTTTTATGTCTCATATTAACCAAATAGTGGTTTTATGTCTCATACTAACCAGCTGACAATCAGAAACCATTCTATTGGACGGGGAACCTGCTAACTGGCACAGGCGGGACATTCTGAAGTCATTCTAGGGGGCTGATAACACCTAATAACATCCATTTAATGGATGATAACATCCGAAGCTGGTGCTCATACACTTAGTACTCATCAGTGTTTATAAGAGGACATGTTAAAAGACTGTTTAATCAAAGTTAAACATGAAATGTCAACATTCATTACAACTGGCCCTTCGAGGGCCACCGTAACGCTCATGTGGCCCACACTGAAAATGAGTTTGACCCCCCTGGTTTACAGCCTCTACATGCTCACCACTAACAAGCTGTTTCATTTTGAGTTTTGACTCTCAGCACTGTTTCACACTAAGTCTCTGTGCTTCATCATCACCACTGAGGAAGATGAATTAGTGACGTGTGCTCAGTTTGTTGTGACAGCATGCAGTCTGCTCTACACTGTCGCAGCAGTGCCATCTACTGATGAGAAATAACAAAAACTACACAACAGAACAAATATCTTCTCACTTCAGAACTTCACTGAACAGATTTGAATTTAGCTTTTATTTAATCACGAACATTAACAATTAACTTCTGGAGGAAACCAACTTTAAGACGATAACAGCTATCTGACATCAGCAAACAGAAAAACAGTGCCGCCTTAGTCAAACACAGGCATTAAGCTGATGTTTGATGTAGTTACGTTCACCATATTTACATTACAGTTACTGTACTCACCGACAATAATGAAGCCGTCTTTTGATTCTTTGTATTTAGAGTCGGAGCCAAAGACGAGTTTGTCTTTCAGCGCTGCCTGAAAGAAGAAACCACAGCTCAGTCAGGTCCTGTTACTGACCTGTCAGAACATCATCATGAAAACTAAATATGATTTGATTTGATTTATTGATTTAACAGGAAAAGATTATTAAAAATCAAGCCTCACTCAGCATAATTGCTGTTTGACAGCAGGTTCCTGTTCTGCAGCACATAAAACACTCAGAATTACAGCATCACAATCACATCATTACACAGACACAAAGACAAACAAGCATACCAAATTTCAGGAAGGCAGCATTTGCAAAATAAGACGTCTTAATATGAGCACAACAGAAATTATATTAACCCATATTGGGTTTATAATAAACTCTGTGTCTGATCAGATTATTTAAACATGGACCCACACCAGTATTTTTTTTACTTTGCTGCCATCAGATTCAAAAGTAACCTTTTCTCCTTAATGACACAATTACAAAGTTTCAACATTTGACATGTTTATTGTGTTTTGTTGAGAATAAAAGATGAGATTGTGAGATTTACACATCGTTTTCTGTTTTTTTATATTTTACAGAGCTGTGGTTGTTTTATCAGATAATTACTGATAAACTGTTTAAAATAATACGTCATAAAGGGGCGGAGCCATAGGGTTGGCTGGGGTGACATTTACCACTGCTGTCATCTGATTGGTCACCACAGTGTTTTGTATTTGCATTTAGATTATGTTGAAGATTGTTCTCTGATATCACTGCACTGTACACATTTTCAGCTGTGTATGATTAAAAATTTGAATTACAGCCTTTTGTAAAATTAGCAATATTGGTTAGCTTAAATTGGGATTAGCATTGGCAATCATGATGAGTTTAGCTAGTCACAACAATTTTAATCTCAACAAGTCTTAAAATGGCTGAATTCGAACCTTTTAAAGTTAGCTGTGGCGGCCATCTTGAATATTTGATTAACATTTAGAATTCAGTAAAGATTATTTTTGGCTACTTCCAAGATCTTCAGCTTTGAATGTCTAAAAATAGCAGAATAACAAGTTGTGACTAGCATTCAGCTTGGTTCTTTTGATCATTTGAATTTGGAATTAGCTGTGGCAGCCATCTTGAATTTTTAAATCCAGATGGCTTTTCTAAAAAAAAATTAAAAAAAACCAACACATTGGCCTCCCCAGTGCCACTCCTTGTAAAAAAGTGAAGCTCCGCCTCTGACGTCATAGATTTTTAGTCTACATCAGAGGATCGCCAACCTTTTATTCCTTAAGAGCTACTTTCACTAAATTAAATTATCCAAGAGCTACATTTTATAACATTTAATTTTAAACTTGTTTTCCCCATCTTCTCATTCAGTCCTGATGATGATGATGTTTATAATCTAACGGGGAAATATCTCAGAACTTAAAACATCAGTCATGAATTTTTCCTTCTATAGTTGAAAACATAATACATGTGTAGACAACTTCATTGTGAATACACAATCCACAGAAAAAAAGCTTTATTACAGGTATCACTGATTAACCTGCGGTATAAGCCACCTTAATTCCCCAAATCTCCTGTTTGCACTTTGAGCAGTCTGTTTACAAAGTCACCATCCCTCCAAGGTAATCTGCATGCCTTCTACTTTTAGACCAAGACCGAGTCACTGAGTGTCATCTGAAAGGCTTGATGATGACAACTTTACACAAAGAATTATTCTTTATAACATCTGTTCAACGATAGTGTAGTGATCATCATCATCATTGTGTTACTGTTTTCAGAAGGCATTTCTGTGTGAAGTTTGCTCTTTATCAGAGTACGAACACTGACAGTCCAAACAGACTACATGTCTAAAGTGTGTGTGTGTGTGTGTGTGTGTGTGTGTGTGTGTGTGTGTGTGTGTGTGGACCAGGGATATTATTATTATTATATAGTAGTATTATATTATTATCATTAACGCAAACTGAAATTGAAAAAAAAAACATTTTAGTTAAAGTCGCAGTGTGTATTTGTTGTTTTCAGCGACATCTAGTGGTTGAGTTGTTGAATCATCCTCCCTGGTCCTCCCCCCACCCCCCCGCTTCCAAACACTACGGTGTCTCTCAGGGGTCAAAAACCTTTGATAATTCCAACCGCGATGTCTACCAGCAGCTTCAGGGCTAGTGATGTTTCAAGTGGTAAGATTATGAGCTTTAATAAGTAAAATTATACCAGTTATGTTTACATGCACAAAATGTTTTAATTGGATTGAAATGTATTCAGATTAAATAATCCGAATGTACTATTTACATGGACACAATCCGATCATGAAAAGTGTTTACATGCACCGCAGTTTTATTCAGAATAAAAGTCCGGACATGCGCAGTGTTGTAAACTTTCAGCTCTACTTCCTGTTACAAACGTAAACAAAGCTCCTCTGTGCCTCAGGACGGACGTGTGTCAGTTTTTAATAACAGTAGAGACGTCGTTACTCCTCGGTTGAGCTGCAGCCTGCAGATGAAGCAATACGTGCTTTTTATTTTTATTTTTTGTGAAGCAACATCTGCTGTTTTCCTCCTTTTTCATCTGTTAAGAGAGCGAGGAGGAAAAGTTCTGCACGGTGCAGCACAGCTGGAGCACCGGGTGAATGAAAGTCAGCAGACATGCACACAGGTCAGTTTTCTACAATCAGAATAAGATGATCAGATTAAGTGTTTACATAAACCTCATTCAGATTAACAATCGGCCTAACCCACCCTTTTCATTCGGATTAAAAATTCATTCGGATCGAGCTCAATCGGATCAGAATAATCGGAACGTGCTGTTTACATGACGCATTTTTATTCCAAACGGCCGTTTAATCCGATTACTTTTGTCCATGTAAACGTAGCTAATGACAGACAACAAATATTACATTTATAGTATTACAACTAAAACCATTTTTGACACCGCCACCGCAGTTTGTCTTTCATGAGCCTTCGTAGACAAGATGGCGGCTGCCTGTGTGGAGACCCACGACCATGAAGATATAAACAGCTTTTTATAAGGTAAAAATAATAAAACAAGATCTTTGTCTGCAATGATTAGACATGTTTTTTATTGTTGTCATTAGTGATTATCTCAATTTCGCCTAAAAGAATTGACAAAATCCTACACACTGTGTCTTTAAATAAAATAAATAAAAACTGTGATAAAATAAAAAACAATAACTAAATAAAACTGTATAATACTTTTACAAAACTAACTAAAACTAACTGAAGTTACAGATAGAATATCCTTAGTTTTAGTGTTTTTTTTAAACCACATAGATTCACATTAGCTGTGGTTTGGGGTTTTCTTTGAATATGACTGTGAGAAAAATCAAATTAAGTGTGTTGTAGTGGAAACAGGTGATAAAACAGGTGGAATACTTCTGAAGAGAAAACCTGCATGAATCAAACTCACACAAGATGCTAACTATGACTATCTGACACGCTAGCTTCTCTCAGTAGCTCCATGAAAAACAAAAAACAGGTAGCACCGAGTTGGAGACAAGAGTTGTCATCGTCCTAAAATAATCACCCCAGTTTTTAGTTTATTGCTTTAAATCACAGGAACATCACAAGCTTGAGGATGCACTGGCAAATATTTTTATTCAATCAATACAAAAATCTAATATTAGAACTAACAAAAACCAAACTAAATTAAAACTAAGCATTAAACAAATAATAATAACTAATAAAAACGATCAAATCCACTGTAAAAACTAATTAAAACTAACTAAATTAAAAGAAAAAAGTCACAACGAATAAAACTCAACTACAATGAAAAATCCAAAACTATTATAACCTTGGTGCGGTCAGGTTTTTTCTACAACATGAGGAAAAATTTTCCCAAAAAAGCAGGCTAGTGGAGACTGAAGTGCATCGTGGGTCCCCACGGGTCCAAATGCAAATTATGGGTGTGGGGTTAGGTTTAGGACCAAGGTTTATGCTAGTTTTAGGGTCAGGTAGGTACCCATGACATTAATTTTAGAGTACATGGTCAGGGTTAGAATTTACTGTCTACAAAAATGAGTGGAAGTCAATGAAAGTTCCCCACGGGGTTCAAGAACAAACGTATCTCTCTCTCTCTCTGTGTGTGTGTGTGTGTGTGTGTGTGTGTGTGTGTGTGTGTGTGTGTGT